CCACCAATAAGAATATTTCCATCATCATCTCGCTCCAATTCTTGTGTAGTAGATGAAATTAGGTTATCGGCATAACCTTTAGTGGCAACGTCATATTCGCGGGTGGGTCTTTCGTTTACCGCGAGTGTAATGTTCTCAACTGCATACATCGTGGTAGAATGGTGAAATTCACTCATTATCTGGAGTTAAATACGTATCAAATCCCTCTCGATATCGTCCATTATCGATAGGACTATCTTTATCGATAACAATGAAATTATGATTCCTAGAATCCCAACAATCTTTACACATCTGCCTAAAGTCATTAAACTTCATATCTGTATTTACATGATCATCGTACACATGAGATAAATTTCTTTTATCTTGTTTAAATAATACAATGAAATTAGCATTATCTCTTAATTGTTTTGGAATTTGACTATATGTCTGACAAAGATAAAAAATGTCAATTAAATGATGACGACCCATGCTATAGTATTCTTTCATATGCTGTTGTTTATCACATACATCATCGAAAATCATAATAGAATGTGGTAAAACTTTATTTGGTGGTACAACTTCTTCATTATCACGATATTCAAAGAGTTTCATTCCATCCTTTTTTAAGCTTTTGAAAATTAGTCTTAACAATTCATATTTTGGTTGAAAGAGCGACTTGGAATATACATATACATTTCTGAAACGTAATCCATTTTCTGCACAAAGTAAATTAATCATTAAATTAGTTTTACCACAAGCAGATGGACCACATATAATAGTTCGAATCGAATTCGGTAGGAGATTCAAGTGCTGTTTCTCACAATTTTTGTTATGATCGTCTACAAGTATAGAATTCACTGGAAGCGACAATTTCGCTTTCACTTTCTTCATGATACTAAATGATCATCTATATAGGGATTTGTTTGTTAGTATGGTTAATGAACAACAAATTCACCCAAAATGTTTACAAAAATAATTTATTATAACATAATATGAATACAATATTAAGAGCTTTTTTAAAATGTATGACTAATCATTTCCTTTTTGCTTACATTAAACACTTCTCCAGTAAGAGCTTTATAAGATCGAACCGTATCTTGTACTAATATTACATAACAAGTTGTTGAATCAGGTATTCCCACACTTGTTTCAAATTCAGTGCGTACGGTGATAGTGCCACCTTGTATTGGTACAGCTTGATGTGAGGTATCAATTATGTACATAATACATGATGATTTAAAATCGTTATGATTCACAATTGGAATAGGATATGCATCTACACCCGTTAACATGAAGTATCGTGCACGAAAATTAATAAAACTTAAATAGGCTTCTGTATAATCATCTGAATCTGCTGAGAGTGGATATAGAGAATAGGGTTGTGAATTTAAGTAAACTCTACAATATTTTACACTTCCATGATCGAATACAATGCTTCTTTTTCTCATATTGTTTCTATTAGTCTGCAAAATTACAATAACATACCTAGGAGTCTCTAAGAGTGATGTTGTGCAAACTTGAAGAGCATGACGCAACGTGCTTGAAATACCAGATAACTGTCACATTCCACTGTCGAAATGCTAATTTGATAACCTTGTTTTGATTAGTGATAGTGAGAAGTTTAGCTAATTCTTTGTTCGATGGTTGTACGAATGGAAGTTTGATATACATTTTTGATATGTTTATTTTTGCATTAATAGCATCCTCTCCAGGGGCTGAAGAGTAAATACATCTATCATCCGAAGTACTTCTCACAAATGCAAATTCTAGTGAATTAACAATTATTATTTGATTATAGTCATCACATAATCCGAAAAAGTAACGTAAAGGAATAGCTATGTGAAACTGTGGAGAATGTAAATGCGCATCTACGAGACCAATACTTCGTCTCTCCGGTTCATTTCCAGGCGTTCCCAATGCGTATGCTTTTACTGGACATATAATTCCAGGATTATATACATGATCAATAACTTTACTATTAAATTTTAAGCTTGCTTCAGAAAACAAATTAAATGTAAACCCATTATCTAGCTGTGTGTTAGTATCAATTACACTTCCATCTCTCTTCGTTATCGAACCTAATATATGAACATAACCTGCAGATAAATGAACATTTTTTTCATTACATGCCACTTCCATTTTCACACGATTACCAAATCCATAATTTGTTCCCAAAACTGGATCAATTTGGAAATATTGATAGTTTTCAATTCCATCATCGTAGATATTCTCTCTTCCATCTCGTAAAATGCTGCTATCCATGATGATGATGATGATGATGATGATGTACACCAGTTAACGAATGTAGAGTGAATGTTGAATTTTCTTAGTAGTACTCCATATTTTAATTGATAACTCGCAATCCTAAATTTTCTAAGAATGCGATATTCTTTGCTGTTAATACACCTTTATTCCGCTTCCACCACATAACATTGTTTGAGTTTACAGATGTAGCTGCTGCTCCTTTTTTTGAGTTGGATATCTTTTTTTAAGTCGTTTATTTACATTCGAAATTATCTTATCATCTTCAATCATACTTTCAACATGTCCATTAGATATAACGGTAGACATTTGTGCACGTAAATTATTTGTCATTTGTCTTAATACATAAATAAGGATTTCATTAACTTCATATATACCAATCGGTATTTTTATAGAATGATTAGTACCATAATAAAACATATTATTACTATTATCAACATTAGGTATAATATTTGATGTAAACAAACCTAAGAGAGCAATTTCATAACTTTCATCACCGAGTACAATTGGAGTTGGAAATACACTTTTAACATGAGCACCCCATCCAGAAATAGTGAGTAACATCTTCTTAGACTATTCGAGGTGAACTAATAAATAAATAATCGTATTAATCTTTTAATAGAAACCATAAGCATAAATGTCCACAAATTATCATTTTAAAGCTTTGAAATGATGTATAATTATAATAAGTGTTACATTCTCGGAGGTAAAATATCACTTCTATCGGTGGTGGGAGATTACCAAATCCATCATAATAATATGCAATAGAACCACGTTTCTTAATGCACACCCAATGAGATCTTCTGTACTTCTCTCTAAATTCAATATGCATGATTCATT